TAGTGGTACTTCAAAATATATGATTATATGATATATTATAGTTGATAAATTTACATAATAAAAAAAACAATGTGGACGATATTATTGTTAATAAGAGGTTTATTCTACTCAATAAGTAATCAGTAAAAATTTTTCACAGATTTGGTGTCGTAGTTGCATTTGTAACTAACAGTTATATGCAAGAAGGCATTGAAGATGCACCTCAAGCAGCTCGTTATGTCACCAAGGACGCCACTGTGTTTTTGAATGATACAACACAACATATGAATCACCTGCTTATAGAAAATTTCAAGGAATTACGAGAAAATTTGATTAACACACTTAAAGGTAAATAACTACATTTTACACATATTGTCCAAAAATATACTAATAGTGTTGACAATATTTTCAAGGTACATTTCACGAATGAATGTTATTAATAATAAGAATATATAAAAATTATTATTTTATATATTCAAATAATTAACTGAGTCGACATATACATAATACACTAGAAACATTTACGAATATTTTTTTACAAAAAAATTGGACTATGATGTTAAAAATAGTAAATTATTTGTTACTGGTCCAACGTTTTCGATGTTGACCAGAGTGATTTTCGTGCTATTATCGAGCTGTGTTCATCATTTCTAATAAATAAAATATTTTTAATATGATTATATATTTATATCGTGGCTTAAAATGCCATTTAAACTTTTTGTTTAATATTTTTAAAATTATATAAACAATTATATATTTACAAAATTTTGCACATTATTATGAAACCTTATGAAAATTACATAAAATCATCTTCGTAATGATATTAGTCAGGTGAAATAGCGATTTAATTATTTGATTCTTGATTATTTTGGTTTTTATATTATTTGATCGAGTAGTTTGGTTCTAATTAGTACATTGCAAAATTTTTGTAGAGTTGATGCATACTTTCAGTATGTTGATGTATATATTTCAGTTTTGAAATAAATTTGTATAGTTTTACTTCTACATATATAAATTCACATAAAATATGTTTCTTGCTGAAATATGTGTTTTTAACATTTCATATTTTCACTTCCTTGAGATTCAAAAACTTTTTAGCATATTTTTAAGCAGCTTGTGGTTTGATATATTAACCATTTTATTGTTTACTATTTTACATTTTTAATTTAACCTGTTGCATCTGTTGACGCAATTTAGCAAATTCAGAGATAAATATAGATTAAAAATAATTCAATTTTTAGTATAACTATATTTGAATATTAACTGCGATGAAGATTTAATACTATCACTATTGGGGGTGATAAAGTTGTTTTGTGTAACCAATTTCATTTACTTAAATCATTCAAATGCATAAAATGGCTATGGGAAACATGTTTTTTTTTTATATTGCTATTTTTAAATATTGTTTTTTTTTGTGTCTGTTGATATAAAACTTTGCAACTTTACATTTGTTTTAAAATCTTTTGATAATTTTCGATTATAAAAAAATGAATCTGCTATGTTTTGGGGACAATTTCTGAACCGATTTGGATTCGACATTTTATTTGCATGTTTTAATACGCAAAGTCTGTTGTTTTTTTTTATAGAGGCAGGTTTACCCATTTTTATACATAAAAAATATTTAATATAGTGGAAAATTAATTGAATTAATGTTTAGAATGCTTTAGATTTTATATTTACAAATAAATGTTTGAACTAATATACGGTAGTTCTTTTTTTTAACTTTTTGCATGTTGCAAGTTGTTTTTGAGAATAAGGATATTTCTTAAGTTGTATTTGCAAATATTTAATTTGGATATTTTCTATTGTTGATATATTTATGTGGTAATATTTTTAGTATTTTATACAAATAGTATTATACATTATATTGTTATAATATAGGAGACTTCTATCCACTTACATATTTATATAAATTTTAACTCATCATTATCTTTTTCTCTCAATCTTAATAAAACAATTAATAAACAAACAAATTATGCCTGTGAAAACCTTGTATCTTTTTTATTTAAGATGAATCTAACAATCTAGTTTTTGTCCTTATTTCCTTGGAGTTGGATTTCCATTCTCTGTATTTCTTTTTTTTCTATAAATTTATATATAATTTCAAAATTGAACTCAATACTACATAAATAATTAATTTAATAATATAATTTAATCATTGTTATTAATATTTAAAAAAAAACTGAATTCAATTTTTGTTATTAAATTATCATGTTCTTTTAGAATTTGTCTTCTCCATCATTTCCCAAACTTTATGTATAAACTATATTTTTATATACTATAATAGTATATATAAATTTTTATTATCTTTGATGAGGTCAATGTAGTTCGGTTGTTCCACAAAATAGTTTGTTTTAGTTTATAAAATTGTCAAATCGCTAAAGCTTCCCATTAGTTGCATTTGCTACTCGAATGTACTTAAATAACATGTGAAATTTAAAAATAACTTGTCTGTTCGGAGTATTGAGCTATATTGTGGAAGTACTATTTTTTCTAGTTTTATATATATATATATATATATATATATATGTGTGCTTTTATTTAATTAATTGGCTTTGTCTAATAATTGTCTTCATCCTATAGTATTATAGAAATATACTTTATCGTTTTAGTTTAATCTGTTTTTCTTTTTTATTTTTCTTTTGGTGGCTTTGTGAAACACGTACTCATTCTGCAATAAAAATCCACACAAGTTTCCCTTTCGTCTCAAAATATATTTATCATTCCATCTTGTGCGGTACATTTTTTTTGAAATTTTAGTACCAATATAACTATATATAGTTTTAATAACTAACAAATCGGTTTAAAACAAATTCAAAACATCAAATGTTTCATTTTAATAAAAATGTACACATTCCATTATAGTTATTGTTTTCTTGGCTATTTTATTTTTTGATCACGTTTTGAAACTTTATAAGTTTTAGTTTTGAAGTCTTTGTGTTATACCTCCTAAGTTTATCTTTTTATGGGCCTAATACTAAAAGTTGCACATAACTCCCATGGTAATTATTTTATATTTATAGAATCAACGTTCTAAATTACATGCAAAAACCTTAAAATAAGCATATCGCTTACATATTTTCTATATAACTAACTGAAATATTTCTTTTAAAATTTTTATGTAATTTCATATATTCGTTGAAAAATATGTTGAAGTTGTCATTTATTTTTCATTTTTATTTTAAATCAAATTTTAGTAACGAATTTATTATCTTTTATTCAAATTTATATTCTAAACAGTAATTTTGTTTGTATTATTTTTCGAAATAAAATTGAACTTCAAATTAATTATTATATAAATATCTATCTTAATATTTTCAATATCATATTTTTTATACTTTCTACACTGAGGGTTTAACGGCAAATTAATGGTTGTTGTTAATTTAATGTGTTTAATTTAATGAAAATAATAAAATATGTCTTAGCAGAAAAATTTAACTGTTGTTGTATACACATAGCCATGCATCTGAACTTTTCTTTGTACTTGATATGAATATATTCTGAAATCCATATTTGATGAAGTGTGTTAAATCTTTTGTTATGTGCATTTTGAATAATAAAAGTTGACAGGATGATGAATTCGATGAAAATATTTTCATAGTATTTGATTTTATTTTATAAAAGAGCTCCATTGTCTATCTACAATAATTTAAATTTTTTATATATGTATGTCAGTTTATACAATTCTTGCTCAATTATTGATGTCTAAAAATTACATAATTATTTTTGAGATTTGTTATTTTTTGCTAATAATTTTACTAAAGGATTATATTTTATATTGTCGAAATTGTTTTTTAAATTTGAAAACAAAAATAATCCCCAAACTCGATATCAAGAATTTATCATACCTAACGCAAAAATTGATGATTTTTATATTAGAACTTCATAATTAAAAAAATATTTCTATGTAGTATCAATTACTGAAATTAGTTATAAACTAATCAGTTCAAATTTAAAAAAAAACACTACTGGTTTTTGCATATGAAATAATGGCTGTAATATTTTATAACTGCATAGAATGTTTAAAATGACATGGAAAAATAGTCGATCTGTAGTAATAATAATAGCAAGAAGAAAAGTGATGAGATAACTGTGTCTTTTTCTCAATTTAAACACTTATGAATTTTTATATTTATAACTACCTACATTCTGATAAATCAAAATCGGAGATTTTTGGTCAAATCATGTTCTTTAGTTAAACGTAGAGAAGTTTTATCTAGAATCGTTTCATTATAAACATCATCACTATTTCTCAAAATTGCCCAAAATACATATAAGCCTTTCAGTTTTTAGCTCCACTTAGATAATTGTAAGGCATAGATAATTTTTCGTAAAATCAAGACATATCGCATTTTAAGTTTGACCTAGAGCTTTGTAATTGATCCTAAATTGATTTTGAATTACGTGATTATTTTTCGTCATCGGTTATGTTCGTCCTAATGGCCATTCTTGTAATTGGTGTCCAATGAATATTTATGTTTGGTTTTCTATAATGACTTGTATCATAAGTGTACAATTAGTATTAATTTTATAGTATAATTTTTTATACATTTTACATTTTTTAAAATCAAGACATATCTCATCATAAGTTTTAAGTATTGTGAGTGATCATATTCTATTGGAAATGGATTTCCTTATAGCATAATATTTTTCATCGTCAGTTATACAAAAATTTTATCGTATTTTTGTTTTTAAACTCTAATGCATTACCACGAATTCTGTGAGTTTAATCGAAAAATTTATTCTGTTGCAATGATTTATTTCAATTATTTCATTTCAATTTTAATTTTTTTACAGAAAGTGCTGCTGTTGTGACGAAGGAACTGGCAGATAAAAGTCAACTTATATCATTAAATAGATTGGAAGAAGTTGCAAGAATGTTGCCTGAAGTTCAAACTAATCTTGAGGATATGAGAAGTACTACAAAGCAACTAAGGGGTTTAGCTTTAACATTAGAATCAGGTAAATGGAAAAAAATTCAAATAAATTATACCATAATTTGTATTTTTATCAAAAGGTCCTATAACCTTGGGTCATATATTTTTATTTAATTTTTAGTTTTATTATTATAAGTATCTTTATCTAATTATTCTAACTGATGCTAAATAATGTTGAAATCGTTTTCGACATGAATCGTACTAGTGGTGCATGGCATCGTGCCTGAGGGCATACTACTGGATCTTACCGTATAGAATTTTAAAATTATTTAAAATTTAAAAAATCTGTGCAAAGATGTGCATATGTCCTATGATCATGTTTGATTTTCATATTTTTGGATTAATAACTTCTGCGTATAAATTGCCAAATTTTAACTTGCCATTGTTATTTTTTAAAAAAAATCTATAGATCGTATAATATTTGAATTCACTTGGGTTTCTTCAATTTTTTTGCTTTTGATAATTACTTTATTTTAGTGAATTATTAGTTGAAATTATTGATTTGTACCTATATCTCCGAATTTTCAAAATATGTTCTTTTTCAGATTTGCGAGGTGTGAAAAGAGATTTATTAGTGATCCTTAAAAACTGCCAAAGTGCGAAACCTTGTCAGGACCTTTCCAATCAATATATCAACGATTTAAAAACACAGAACATGGACTACAGTTCTGTAAGTATATTTATGAAAAATTATGTTGATTCAGATATACGAGTACATAATTGATTTTATGCAATACAATTATCACATTTAATAAATAATTATTGCTTTAATATATTTTGGGTGATTTTTTGCATTGATTTATGTTCTTTCACGTAACACATAGCGTACTATAAACAGAATCATTTTTAATCTAATTTATACTTTTCATTTTGATTATATTTTAATTATTTTTTATGAAAATATTTTTTCAAGATTTTAATTTCATTATAAGTTATTTTCGAATGCACATGCAATTTTTATTACCTTCATTATTTATTACTTCTGCTGTCGTCGTCACAATTACTTTGTGTAATTACCAAATTCTGTTCAGTATTTTATATTAATATATATATATATATATATATATATATATATATATTTATCTTGATAGTTTATTTCGCTTTTGAAACATATTGCTATATATATTATTGCATTCATTACATGAAAAATTTTATTTTCATTATATTTATAACTTCTCACAAAGTAAAACCCAATAAACTTCAAAGATTGAGAGATCTTCAAGCAGCTTTTTCTTTGTGCTCGCTTAGTTCCTTTTGTAGTTCTTTCACTGGAATTGATTATATTAAATAATATAGTTTTCTAAGGGTGAATCTCTTATCATCAGAACAACTTCTGAAAAATCTTATTTTTATCCATAGTGCTCTATGTTCTGATTTTTTTCAATAAAATGTATAGACACAAACGTTCAAGTTCTTTTTATAATGGTTTAACAATTTCAATGAAATTTTACTCTTCTTTGGATTTTTAATTGTGTTTAGTGCAGCAGACATTCCTACTTTCTTAAGAACTCGTTTAATTTTTGCATTTATATTTATAGAATTATCATGAACGCTAGATTTTAATACGACTAAAGGAATAACTCCTAATTTCACAAAATTTGTTTTTAAATTTCAAGCTTATTTTGAGACACCATCATTTAAAATTTCCATTTGCGTGATCCATTTTTCATTAATTAAAATTCATAAACATGGATAATGAAATGTTGTTTTTCTTTTATAATATTGATAAATTTGTTGTACATAATTTGCATTGCAAAAATTATAATATTCCAATTTTATTAGTTAACTTTGTGTCATAACTTAACTATAAGTCAATAATCAATAAATCGTTAATTTTATTTATTGTATTAGTATAACATATTATATTTAGTTTGTGAGGTAACTTTCTTTATCCACAATATTTTTATGAATATAAACTCCAAATATTTTGCTTTCTCTAATGTTTATTAACGTTAACACGTTATGATTAATTGCTTATAAGGTAACAGGTGTCGTTATTACAATGCATTGAATTTTGTTTTTTATATTTTACCCTTTTTTGTTACATTTCTTGGCACAAGTTCAGCACAATAAAATACATTGGTCAGAGGTTGTTCTTCATTCTATTTGAATTTTGGTTATATATTCTTAATTTAACATGAACAATGCAAAAGTTAATAATTTATTTCGTTTTTCTTAGACTTTAAAATATATTATTTTGTTTGAGGTTGCTGATCGTCATAATTGAAAAATGTGTTAATAGAAAACGTCAATTTGCTTTTGAAATAATTGATGTATGCAAGAGTTCATAATCATCAATATTTTTAAACTGAATCAATTTTTCAGGACCTTATAAAAAACAAATTTTGTCTCCTTTTTCTCAGTAGTTGCTACTAAAATATTTGTATTTTATACTAGCCGACCCGACAGACTTTGTCCTGTCAAAAAAATCTACCAAATCGGTTCTGATTGCTCTATTGATATTTTAAGGCTCTCTCTAAAGCATCAAAAGATTTTTTATGTGCCATCGTGCATTCATATCAAACGATCAATTGATATTGCTGCAAAACCTTAGCCATTGCAAAGTTCTTCGAAATGTTGCAAGTTGAAGTTTCATTGCTTTGCATATTTAATGGCATTTTAGTGCTGAATGGGCTTTGGCCACCTTCGAGTAAAGTTGCTGCGATTCCCGATGAAGCGAGTGCAAGTGCAATTTTGTTTTGTGAGCGAATTGTTGCTAGTATTAATAAAAATCAAAAAAAAATCCTATACCACCAGGCGCATCTAAGAGTAAAAATCCCCCCAGTTCCATCATTTGTTACTTTCATAAGAATAGCAAATACATACCTCTGTTGTTCATTCAACAGTGGAAGATTTGTTTCGATTAATTCTTTCAAATTGTTGAGATCATATAATTTTTCTCGATGCAACTCTTGGTTAAAAACATCATGCATTGGACGATTAGGCGCGGCCAGGCCTAAGTGAATTAATACATTGTTTGGCATCACCAAGCACATGTCTTCAATTGAAATCAATGCTTTGTTGTAAATTTCTTTACTGATTTGCATATTTGAATTTCCCAATCTATCCGTATTTGACACAAAATATTATCACACATATAATCTTTGTACTTGATCCACAAATCAATTGGGTTTGATGGAAAGCATGTGGATAAGATTGTAGAAAACAATGTTTGTATTTGATGAGCGTGTGAAGATATTACAGTATCGCTGCGAGTTTGATCCCAATGAGCGTCATTTTCTAGCAATTGTAAACGTTGACGGGCTTCTCTGTAGGATCCACACAATTCACCATCAACAGTTCGTAAATGTTGGAATGATGTTGGGCGACGTACATTGACTAATAGCAGTCGTAAAAAAAATATTCACCTTGGCTTGGATGTACTGAATAAATTCGATCAATCGCATCGGTGGAATATACATTTGTATATCCTGGTACTGATTTTCCTTGTTTCTTTCGTATAAATCATATTGATTCCAAGTATAATATTTTGGCATTTCAGAATAAAGCAGTGTTTGTGCAAAATTATCGTTTTGACATATCTCAAAAAAACTTGTTAATGTAGTAGATGGTGGCTGAGCAGCTCCTTGACCTGCGTTCACTGTTGTAAAGTACACCCTTTGCCCATTTTTGCACAGTTAAGTAAATAACAGAAGGTGTCTCTCATGAATTGGAAAAGAAAATATTCGCCAAATTGATTCATTACTACTAACTATATTTGGTATTGAGTAACTTTTATGTTCATTTCGGTCGTCATGTTCTTGTGTAGTACGATTAGATCGGTAATTAGCTTGTTTTGTAGCATTTCGTGTTTTTCTACTTAAATTGCCCCGTCTTATAGGAGGCAATATTAAAATATTGTGTCACATGCAATAACTTTTTATTCATAGGTAGATAACAAAATACTACAGACAGAACAAAAGCACACTTAGCAGAGTATAACAGAAAATGCAATAAAATCACCACCGGCAAGAGCGGCAAATGGACATTAACATTGATTTTTTTAATCTTATAAGACTTGGAGTCAAATTCTTTAACGCCATACCTGTCGAAAGTAAAACAAAAGAAATAATATCGAGAAGCCGACTACGATTATTTTATATTAGTTAGAAAAGGGCTGTTTTTAGGGTTTTCCCGACGATTATTCGAATTTTTCTTGCCGTAAGAACCATCCTTGGACATCAACAAAACATTTTAAAAAAAGAATTGGCCAAATTGGTTCAGGCGTTGTTGAGTTATGCGCTTACCAACACATTTCGCGATTCATTTTTATATATAAGATTTATATAAAATCTTACTACATATAACCGTAAATTGAAAAGCCTTTCTTGGCAGAACTCTTTAAAATTTTTATTTTGTATATTTATATAACATCATTTATAATAATTTATACGTAATAAAATATTCTTTTTAATCAATTAAGGAATTAGATTTTAAATAGAACATTTCATTCATCATTTCAATATTTATCATGCTATTTTCTACTAACATAAATTCATATATTTTCATGCTTACATAACAGATCATAGATCAGTATTTTCCAAAGGTAAGATGATGCATAAGTTTTTGATACAAATTTGTTTTATTTTAATTAATATATGTTATTCCTAAATTTTTGCAATTTTTTCACTTGTAGTTACCTGATCCTACTCAAGTCATCGATGAATTGGACGACTTTATTACTAATAGCGATTTGCAATCTGAAATCGAAGCCGGTATAAAAGAGTTTCAAAGCATCAATGAAACTTTTAACACAGCTGTTGAGAAGAATATTAAACCATAGAACAATCTTTAGATAAAGCAGGTAAATATTCCTTTATTATTAATAATGGACGCAAGCTAATAAATTTTTATCTTGTAATGAGAAATTACGTGTCTAAATATTTTATTACTAGTACGTTCCAACCCAAAATAAAATTTTATGAAATATTATGCTTCGACTTAATTATTTTTAAAAATTAATATATATAATTATATAATATATATAATTATTTTTAAAATTTAACTGTTTTTAACAAAAATATTAATTATATACTAATTTTTAGATGCAATAGATAATATGAGCAAGTAACAATTACACAACGATCTTAATTTTTATACGATTCAACTTTTCAATTAAAGAAAGCGTATTTTATCGGGGCAATGTAATCGTGAAACTTCAAATTAATATTAAATGTTGTAAAATATTTATTACCTATGAAATAGCTCGAATATTATTTTATGATTAAGAGAGAATAAGTTTTATATTTTAAAATAGCAAAATATAGCTGTTAAATTTTATGTTATATTCACTTTCTGTTAACATTGTATTGAATTCTATTGGGCTTTTTTTTATACTCTTCAAAATATTTTTTATGTTGTTATTTAAAGTAAAAATTAGTATTAAGACAATATATTATACCGTATATATAACAATACAACTATATATTTTATGCTATTCTTTATATAAATTTTTCTGTTTAGTATAGTCTTAATTAAACACATTTTTTAACAAATATACTTCAAATAACAATATACTGTTCAACAAAATACATAAATAACAATATACTTGTTCAACAAAATACATAAATATTATATATAATTCATCTATCTGTTTCTCTGTCAAAATATTTCATCAACATTCGACAACAACATGCTTTTTAGCTTCGAATTTTTTAATATAAAAACTGAGGCGTTTTAAATAATATAATCCAATGCCTTGGTTTATTCATACAGAATTTATTGAAATTGATTCTCAACTTTTATACTATTATATTATCATTCAGCAAATTTTTCAATCTCGATCCGTAAGATATATATTTGATATATTCGTATATTATATAATATATATATATATATATATATAATATATATATATAATTTTTTAAGTAATAAATAATAACAACGTACTTCTGAGCTTCAAATTTTTCAATTTAAAATTAAGACGTTTAAAATAATATAATCCAATGCCTTGGTTTATTCAAATAGAATTTATTAAAATTGATTGAACTTTTATACTATAATATTATCATTTAACAAATTTTTCAATCTCGATCTTTAAGATATATATTTGATATATTTGTATATTATATATATTTTTCAAGTAATAAATTAATGATTTATTCATTTTTTTAATATAAAATATGAATTACTCAATAACAATTAAAGACTGCGTCGAATTTGATCATTAATTTCGATTTCGATCTCGGTATCGGTATTGTCTTATCAAACTTAGAATTTAATTTACTTATTTTTGCAATCAACTTTTTGTTCAAAGTGGTGATTATTCGTTATATACCCTAAATATATTTTTGTCCTAAAATGTCAAGTCATATATAGAAATCAAACTCTATATTTCTTGTTCTTAGCAGTAGTAAAGACAACATATTCCTTAAATTTTATTTAGAAGTTTTCGAGATAATTGTCTGTTTTCTGATTTAATACAGAAATTTGTCATTTGACAAATATAACGTGTGATTCATTTTTGGTGGTTTTTAAAACCAATTGAAGGTTTTATTTTTGAAGAAGGTTTTTATTTTTTTTTAAGATATTATATATACATATATATATATATATATATATATATATACATACATATATATGTGTGTGTGTGTGTGATTTTCAAATTTATATGTTAGCTTATAGTAACCCAACACTAAAATCTATAATAATGTTTGGTACAATTTTGTCTTGGAACGATATTTTGTAATTGAAATATCATATAATGTTCAGAAATTTATTTAAAAATTGAATTTTATATCCTTTTTATAGGAAGAGAAATTCAGCAGCAATCACAAAGCTTGATGTCTACAATTAATAACATTAGAGGAACTGCCAAAAGTGAAGGCGATAAAATGATAAAAATTGCCGATGATTATATTAAAGAATATTCTCAGTATAGATTCTACGGTGGATTAGCGCTCAGTGTGATTCTATTGATTGTAAGTTATTCTGTTTTTTCTATACAAATTTTTATATATTTATAAATGCATGAAGTTCTATAAAAATAAATTTCCTACAAAGATCGTAAGTTCTCAGTTAGAAGAAAAAAATATTACTTTTGTGTTCAAAAAAAAAAAAAAAAAATCACGAAATTACGTTTTATTTATTCTGAATTTAAAAAAAAAACGATGCATTTTGAACTTATCTTATCTTCTATCTTATTTTTAAATTGAAGGATCTTATTTTAAATTGAAGCAATATTATTATGCCGAAGGTTTTTGATTTTTCATAGTCAAGGCAAACCAAGACAATTTTGGTGAAGGCACATTTCACCATTAATGATGTTTTCATATATTTTATATATTAGTATTATTGCAAAACTCACATAATATTTAGTTCTATCTGTATGTCCCTGCATTAAATAACAGATTATTGAGAGATATATTATTATTCGCTTAAAATATTTTAAGAGTCATTTAGCATTTGCCTTGGAAGAGTTCAAGAACATCTCGAATTATTTCCGTATTTCACGGTCGGTTTTCTCTTAAAGCAATAGAAGTATCATTTTAAACATTTACTCATTTTTTATATATATATTATATTTATTTTATTAGATACTTCGTTATTTTCACATATTTCTCAATCTTATTTCACAATTTTTGAGAGTATTTTGAGAAGAAGGTATTTTGTTTTGTTTCATTTTGGAGTATGATATTTTTCGCTTTGAAGATTGTAGTCACGAACACTAAAATTGACCAATGAATCTTATCTAATTGATTCACGAGTTTATTTGGATGAATTTTATTCAGTACAGTTAAGTAATGAAAGCATTTAAAAAAGATTTCGATATTTTTATGTAATTAAAATATTTCTTGTTTTGAAAAAAATACAATAGACTTTCATGTTTCGAAAATCATTATGATGACTCTTCAATGTTTTTTCTTTCTCTTGGCTGGATGGATATTCGTTAAAAAGCATTTTTATTTTCGCCTATATAGCTTTCATCGTTTGAAAATTTAATACTTTCATCAAGTCTAGTGAGAAACTGAAATCAGACTTTATTATAAAATTGATAATTTTATAGTAAGTTTTTTAATATATATTATATTTTTATTTTTAATTGATATTAGACTTCTAAAATCATTTGCTTTAACATTTTAAACTTTGCACTATTTCATTTGTACATATTGCAATATTCACATTTATCACCAATTTACTTCTCCAGTAGTGTTTTGTTTTCAGCAATATATTATATATTTTTATATAAAATCTTGTATTAAGATTCTTATCATGCTTTTTCATCACTGTTAAATTGAATAAACTTCAAAAATGAAAACTGAATTAGATACTGAAATCTATCACTGGCAATTATGCTGTTACTTGTAAAATTATGCTTATACTTGTAAAAGATATTTTTATTTTCTGACGTAAAAATAATGGAATATGAAAGCTATTATTATGTAAGATAATTAGGAGTTTCAAAGTTGAATAAAATTTTTATTATAATGAGGTCGTATACAAAATATTTTTATCAATCAAACATGAGATAATAATTTCTGATATATATTCATATATAAAATATATTTTGAATTGAATAAACAGCCAATGCGTCGAATGAAGAATTTTTTTATTTCAAATTGTTTTGTACGTTTCGAGACTAAATGTGGCTCATCATTCAGCTAATAGAAAATTTACAATATAAGGAAAAATATATTTATAATTATTAAATATATTTATAAATAGTCATGTATTTTTAAAGTGCAAAATTAAGTATAGTTTTATTTTGTAAAGTTCAAAAATGACTAAAAATGAATAATATAATTTATTTTAATATTTTTTTAATAATGAATAATTTACACATCTGAAGAAAATTTAAAGTTTGTTTTGATTAATGCACAGGATCTAAGCAATTTCTAGTTATTTATTTGTTTTTTTATTCCAGAACTATTACTATCTTTTTATTAAAGAAAGATTTTTGTAAAAACATAAGAAAACGGTATTACATGATACACTTTGTTAAAGCTGTTTACATATTAACTTCCAGTTCCTTTAATTATATGCTGATTTTCGAGCTGTCTACGATTTTTTTAATTTTGATTCTATAGTTGCATATTTAAAATAAAAGTAATAGTAATTAATTCAAACCAAATACTTCGTGTTTTCTTATTATTTTGGAATGTTTTTTACAGTCGTCAGATAATGATGTGAGAATTGGCAAATTTATTTAAATTATTAAAAATCGCTACATTGAATTCAGTTCATTGTTGTTTCTTAGGCATTATCTATGATTTTTTTAACTCTTATTTTGATAATTTTGCAGTGACGTTTTGTTTTGAATTATATGCAGAAATATTGGAATAATATCAGAATTAGAATTATTTGTTCTATTATTTTTTAAATACTACTAAATTACTACTAAATATATAAAAAATAATAATAATCTTTTTATCCTTGACGTCTGGGTAGTCTGACTCAATACCGCCCTGGTATAATACCGACTAAAACCTCCGCTTTGCCCTTGCCTCTGGTCCCTACGGAAACCGCTGTTAGGCATTACTTCGTGGGGGGAGTATCTAGAATGTTATAATTCTTAACTTAATTTTATACTCATCTTTTATCTTTGACGTATGTGTATATTCATTTATAGTTTTTTCAGAATAATTTGTACTATTAATTTTTAAATACTAAATCTATAAATAACAATAATAATCTTTTAATCTTGACGCATGTAAGGACGTGTGTATATTTATTTATAGTTTTTTTGTTTAATTGTTTATGCTTCTAACAAATACGAATAATTTAGAAAAAAAATCTTAGGTGTTGTGATTGTGATTTATAAATTAATATATTTTATTACTATTTTACAATTAGTAAACTAAACTAATAGTAAAAAAATTAAATACTGTACTTCTTTTATTGTAAAAGGGTTGCTTTAGTTAAATCCGTATAAACAACTTTCATTTGTTCTTAAATTTTAACTTCTTGCTCATTATTTTGCAGATATTAAATACGCCAACATTTTAATAAAAAATCGTCGCATTCATGTTGTTTGTTAAGTTGTTCAACATATAATTAATTATTTTTATCATTAATTTTTATATGTTTGCTGATTTAGAGAAATATTTTAACCGGTGTTTGTTGGTAACTATTGGATCGTTTATAAAAATGTACGCTGGTTCGTCTAGAAGTGACGATCTTATTATATTGTTTATCCTTCGTTCATCTCAATTAATTTTTAATTCAATATTTCAATAAAATTTAGGATATTTACTAAATATAATTACTCAATATCTGTTTTATCAATACTTAACATTTTTACTGCAGGTTTTATAATTTTTGATCAACTATTTTTACTTTTTGATCTTTATGCAAACATGGTACATCAACGTGTTTTCTTTTAACTTCTGATTTGTTTATTGTTAATGCAGGTGTGAAAATTTGACTTTTTCGAAGAATATATTATATTGTATAGTATATATGTATATATATATATATATATATATATATATATATATATATATATTTCTCCATGTGTTTCCGTCCTCTATTATATATCTTGCAATGAATACGTAGAGTATTTATCTTCAATATTTTTAGAACCACATTAATATTTTCTTTAAATGTTTCACTTTATTGTTTAATAAGGATTGTTCGTTTTTACAATAATTTCTTATACTATGTATATGCTTAGAACAACTAAAGCCTAGTTTTGTTTTTAATCTCGGTGGTATTCTATTCCAAATCAAATATTTCAATTTTATATTGTAGTTTCTACATAAAAAATATGCAACTAATTTCTTGCTTTCTGTAATTTTGCAGTCGGATTTTACAGTAATTGTTATAAATCTTGGCTTTTGTTATAAAAGTTTATGTTGTGGTACATGTTTATCTTGAATCGATGATTTTGAAAATATATGCTTTTAGAATTTTTCTTTATTTATTTTACTAATATTATTATTTTTTTAATATTTTTTATTAAATTTTTAATTTAAATTATGGTTATGCATTATGCTTTTCTAGGTCTAGTAGCACTGTAAATAGTTATATCTGCACCAGATGAAGTAATGATCTACATTTAAAAGATAATTCTTTTTATAATAAAAATAATACTTGGTAAATTGAAATTGCTGCAGAATTCTATTATCAAATTCGTCATTTTTTGTTATGATCTGCTCTTTTTCTACAACATTCTAAAATACCTCTCACTGTTAAATTATATCTCCCCTGTTTTGTTATATTACTTATAAGTGTATTGCAAATTAGAAGGCATTAATTTTAGTATAAGTAATCTTTGAGAATTTGTATACTTTGTGTTTGTTTTCCATTTTGATTGTGGTATAATGGATTACGGATAACTTATATTTTTATAAAATATCTATATCTAATTGCCTAAATAATATATTTGTGAATTATAATTTATTAATTATAAAAGGGTTATTTATTCTCTGTTTTCCAGCAATGAAATCAATTGCAAGTATTTTGAATTCCGTGCATTTCTACTACAGCGGTTTTAAATTGTATCAAATTTGTTATTTTTATTTAAAAAAAAACTAATATATGAGTAATATTTCTATTTATTTTGACTATCTATCTAGTATACAAAATTCTCAAATATTTTTATTTAGTAAGAGTGTAGCATCTAATGTGCAATGCTCAAATGTCTACTCTCTGGATGAACTATTGAAAATTTCTCTGTGTATTATCGATTATGCATAAATGACGGGAACATAAATGATCTTTTTCGTTTATATATGTAATATCTTTGAGACTACAAAAAATTTATTATATTCACCTTGTTAATTAATACGTCTTTTATTAAATTTCTTGCAATGAGTTATCTCAATGAATTTGAAATGAATTATTTTGATTTTTTTTAAATAAATTATAATTTGTTTTATTATTATTTTAAATTTTAACTTTAATTATATATTGGAATTAATTTTTTATCTTTAAAATATTTTACAGAATCTTACTTATATATGTGTAATATTGTTCAAATTAATAATATGAGAAAGTATTTCTTCATTTATTATTTAAAAGCTCCATTGAATACAGTATTCATTTCATTGGATTTAGATATACAATTTTGAAGGGTCTTTTATCATGATCTGTTCCTTATTAGAATTTGTCGTCTTTATCACAAAATTCATACAGTGTTTTTTTACGTTATTTTTGTTTTTAAGTCCAACCAAATTTTTTATCAGTAATTATTTGTCATGTATAAAATCACATGGTAATTGGTTAGGAACGGGATTAAGGTGGATTAATTTCCTAACCAAACCAACGAAGTTTTCCCAGAATCAAATATCATGTTCCTTAATTTACTGGTGTCCTTTTCTTAGCTATATATATCAAGTCGATCTTTTGCGATTGATTTCTTTGGGCGGTCTTATAGCTCAAAGTACATACTCGAGTTTTTATGGAGTAGTAGCAAATAGTTTTCTGCCAAAAATACCAAATACACAATAAAACTTCTTGACATCAGGAAGCATACAACAATTTTCGCCGTCTCCCTGCAAGTCAACTTGTAACCGTTTTCGCTTTAAATTGTTCTAAATGATCTATTTTTTTATCACCTTTCTTTTCTTCTTCAGGCATATTAACTAAAAACTGTAATATATTGTATATATGTATTTTCTAGAAAGCTCAGTTTAGTACTTCAAGTTAGAATTCTTATCCCTTGTGTGCATTCATCACTGAAATTCTTAATTATGACATTTAAAGTCTCTATAACATTTAAAAAAATAATGGTTTTGGTTTACTTACACCTATTAGCAATAGATAATAGAAGGATTATTTAATTAATTTCGATACTACAAAATTAAAAATAAATATATGTTTGAAATATTAACTCCAAATGCCGTTATTATATTAAATCCTTGTACAATTTTTATCTGCTACTAGCGTTCTCCTGATTTAAATTGCAAACTGTTGTGTAATATTTTATAGTATGTTTTATATAATTTTATACAAATATTTATTTATGAATTGTTTTATTCAGTATTGGTCAATCTAACACTTTTCTTCTTAAATATTCTGATTCAATTTAATTGTGTAGTAAATAAATGATTGATTAACTTAAAGTATCTCATAATGCAAATTTAAGTAAATGAAGAAATTAAAATATTTGAATGAATTTTGTAATAGCTTCATTTTTATTTTCCTAACAACTTATGCGACGTTTAATCAACAATTGTCAAATATACTCTCGTCAATAACAGTTCAAATATGTGATATATATTTTCTTCAAAACTATTTTTAATAATAATTTTCGTTGTTTTTAATATGTAATTTTGAACTACGTTTTGTATACTTGGAATTATTTTTAAAATTATTGATTTTGTAAACGTGAATTTATTTTTTATATATTTGAGTTATTAAACTTAGTCAAGAAGTATTACAAATTTTTGTAACCCTTTTTTTTACAAATGCTTGTTATTTTTTGTTCCCTCTGATAAATGCTATTTATTATAGTAAAATTGATCTTTCTAGATTCATATTTAAATTTTATTCATACATAAACATATATAGTTAGCACCTAAATATTCTTACGTCAAAATGATAAGCAAAACTGGATTTAAATCCCATCATTGCCTACTCTAGATAATCTGCTTATATTTTATAAGCATATCGGATTAAATCAATATATATTTCAATCAATATATAATTCATTTTTGAAATCCTAAAATGAGAATATAGTTTTTTATGTATAATTTTATTTGAATTATCATACCAATACATTCTTGGTGAAGTCATTGTTTCTTGATTTTCTTCGAGGAAAAAGTGGTATCAATTTATATATTTAAAACAACACGTTATGTAAGTTTTTTTGATTGTATTTGAGTTTTAGATAGTCCTATTTGAAAGTATTATAGGTATATATATTTTTTTAATTTTGCAGGTCTTATTGTGTGTTAGTTTTGGATTATTATGTGGCATTTGTGGCAAAAGGCCAGATGGATATGGTGACGATTGCTGTAATAAAGGCGCCGGTAGTTCCTTCCTTATGTGGTAAGAAAAAAATAACTAATATTTTTTGTTTTATTTTTTAACATTCTTAATCATTTTTATTTTATAATTTTTTTATTCTAAAATGAAGAAAAGTATGAAGTGTTTCACACCTTTATTGAAATACATTTTGCAGTCGAATTTTTATTTGATGATTTATACATTTCAATTTGTTTTTACATATTTTATCTTATTTATATGATACATTTACACATTTTTTCTTATTTATATGAGCCGTCTATATGGATACTTTATAATGGACATTTGTTTTGATAATATTAATTTGTAATAAACTGAATTATAGGTTTTTGTTCCCTTCGGCATGTTCATTATATAGACGTTAATAATGACATTATTTGTCTAAAATATCAATCACATTTTTGGGGTTAATTTGTTAAACTACTCTACAACTATTTATTGTTTAAATTTCGTACCCATTTTGTGTTCGTTTGTTGGGTGTCTCTTTCAATAATATTAAACTGATAACTATAACAATGTGTACTACACTTTACTATTTATAATACATATATTGTTATTTTTGAAAACAATTTGATATTTGTTCAAAATGCATATTCATTTATTTATCTACATAAACGCCAATTATATTTAAGAAATTGCAACAGAAAATTAAATATATTTTGAGAATCTGATTGCATAGTTTTCGTTATTATAAATAAGTTAAAAAAGGATTAGCTTTTTTCTAAAAGGTTTGGGTCACAAACACTTGAATTTAGTGAGGTCAATGATTTCGCAAACTAATTCAAATGCAAGTACAAATTTGTTTACTTACTTTTGTGTTTGCATCTGTATGACGTAAAACATCGAAAAACTTCGTAGAATTGAAATAGGAATTTTGCAAACATAGCAAGCCTTGATATAAAAGCTCAAAACGTATTATGATTATGAGTTGTAGGCTCTCCACCCATTAGTTCTCTGTGTTTGAGCAGTCTTATAAAATAACAGAATGTTATTGATAAAAACAAATTACAATTTATTATAATCTGCATGTTATTTATATTTTATATTTTATATAATAAATATCTAATACTATTTTTCCTCTGTTCAAGGGGCGTTGCAATTATGTTCCTATTTACTATCGTGTTGGCCGTTGTAGCCTTGGCTCATTTTATCATCGGACTTTTGGTGCACAGGACCGTGTGTGTTCCTTTACAGTGAGTACATTTTTTAATCAATA